AAATGGTTTTAAGTAGACTGAATCAGAGAAGAAACCTTTTTCTTCTTCCTGTCCACTACACAGGATGTTGTTGTGGTCTGACTCTGACAGATCCTGACCTATAGAAACAAGGAGCCAGAATAAGAGCTTTCAAACAATAAAGTCAACCTACTCTTCTGGGATTTTCACATAGCAGGCTGGTGTGAGCGAGGGCATTAGTGAGGAGGCTCATCCAGGCAAGAAGAGGAGGTCATTAATTAGAGATGGTGAACATCATACATGATCTCTGTTCAACTCATGGGACCCCTACTCATGTGCACAAACACAGACGCACGTATGTGTGAGGAAGTAATGCTGCTCCCCAGAGTCTGATTACTGCCTCTGCCACACTGAAGGAGAGGAGGAACAAATATGTGATAGATCGTGTGACCAACAAACAAAATGTTGGTGACCAAAAAAAGCTGTGTCCAAGCTGAATATGAGAGGTCCAATCTCATCATCCGAGGAAATTAAGCCACAAGTGATTATGCACATGTTTGTGAGTGTGCTTGCTCGTCCTGTGTACCCGGGCCTGCTGCATGTGTATTCATGAGTCTATGCACAGAGGTATAAAAGACCACAAAGCCCAGATCAAAAACATGGGGACGTCATTTGCTTATGCCACAACAAGACTCATCACATCTTCATTAGCAGAAGATACAGTTAAGGGATCAAAGCAGCAAATCAGGCAGATTTTCATGACAAAAGACGTCCAGCTGGTCGTGTGAAGGGAACACGTTTCACTGATAATAGTGATGGACCAGGCTGCTCATTGCGTGTGTGTGAGTGTGCACATGTATTAGTTCACCTCACGACAACCGAGCACATCCTTTAATCCTTTATCTTTTCATTCCATGCTGTCTAATATGGTTGTTGTGTAAAAAACAAACAAACATGCAATTTAATGAGGATAAAAAACCAAACAATTTTGAATATATTTTTCTTATGCATAGACACAATCATCATGATTTCAGGTATGGTTTGTCCATAAGTAATCAGATTGTTATTTGTAAGAAAACATCCTATTCTCTTAAAATCAGTGGGGTGGCTGTGGCTCAGGGGGTAGAGCGTGTTCCTCTAAGCAGAGGGTTGTTGGTACAGTCCCAGTCTTCCTCTTCCACATGCCATGCCGTTCTGAAAGAACAAGTGCTGCATATGGATCCACTGTATGTGTTCGTGAATAACAAAAACTGTAAAGCGCTTTGAGCTCTGAGTGGTCATCAAGGCTAGAAAAGCTGAGCATTTATTTGGAGGTTTCATGATTGAAGTGAGTGGCCTGCTTTATTCAGAACTCACTGTAGATTAACTCTTGAAGGGCACATAACAGCCTTCTCTTGACATCCATTTGATCTATTTCTTTTTCTCCCTTTAGAATTGTTTTTGTAATGATTAAGTTTGAACATTAAGCACATCTTAAACCTTGTTGACCTTCTTACTCAATTAAGTGAAGAGAGAGGGCTCCGCTCAGACAGGATGCAGTTTTGGCAGTGAGAGGCGTCTTTTTCCATGTGTCAGAGGCACGAAGTCATCAGTTAACCATTTGTCTGCTTTAGATAAAGTAAAAGGGATGAAGCTTCCAAAGCACAACACATAACCTTGCAAAATATACTCCAATATTACATATGGCAAAAGAATGGATGAAAAAAGATTAAAGTAAATCTGTCTCTTTAGAACTTCTCCTCTTCATGTGTACATCAAAATACAGTATTTTTAGGAAATGTGTGGGTGACATCTGATGGACAAGACAGGAATTACACTCAAGAACAGACCAGACAAATGATAAAAACAACCAAATCTGTTGGTGATTGTTACCAAATTGATGACAACGTATAACTATTTAAATTGTTTTATTACCTTAGATTATACAATGAACTAATGTAGAATAATAATACAATTTGTGGTTTAATATTTTAAAAGAAAAGAAAACAGCAAACCCCTTAACAACAATTTACTTACATATATGTACAGGCACTTATCAAGGTTCCCAGTAAAATACACAATGAAACAAAAGGTAAAATATATATCAGAGCTGGTAGTTCTGTTCTGTCTCAGCATCATATTCAGGATACACTACCTGTTGGTGAAAAAAATATAATTTTTCTTATCAGAGGATAACATCAAAAAAACTACAGACATTGTAGATAACCACAGATAAACTGATGATAAATAATGGAATATAAAGAGTTAGCTGAAAGGAAACTCATCTCTGATCCTAGTGCATCAAATCCAAAATCTTCATTTTCTTCGGGACGCAATAGAAGAACAACAAACTATACACAAACTTTACATATCACAGAATGAAAGCATACTTCCCAGGGAGGTTGAGAAACGTGCAGTTATCATTGTTGGGGCGGACAGTGAGTCTGATCACTGGGATCTGGACACTCTGCCTCTACGGGCAGGTGGCTGGTTGGGATGCCCACTGGGGGACGGACCTTTCTTATTGGGCTGAAACTGCGTGGAGATGACCCGGGGGAGTGAGCAGGTGAGCGGACAGGCCGCAGTGGAGGACCAAGAGGGGGCTGTGGGAGGGGTAGTGCTAGTGGAGAGGGGCTGCGGGGGTACCTGCGAGGGGCAGACCAGATGGGCCGCTCAGTTCTGTTTGAGGAGGGGGGAAGGACGGGAGCATAGGTAGCAGGGATACACATTTCTGATTGGCTGAGAGCGTTGCCAGAACATTCTTCCAAACGCTCCAGAGTCTCCTGAAACAACAAGAAGATGCCTAAGTTACAATCATCGGTGGTGTTTTATCTATGATTCTAATTCTAAAGGTTCAGTGTGTAAGATTTAGCTGAAAGGTATTCAGTGCCAACATTCAACTTCACTGCTAGATGTCACTAGAGGCTACACTCTGAAGTTTTAATGAAGCTGTCATTTTTAGCTAAATAATGACATGTTTTCGCAGCACTGTGGGCTGCAGTGAAATGTCTCAACAAGATATGATGTTTGCCATGAACTTTTCTCCACACGTTCATGATCACCACAGAATGAATGACTGAAGTTTCATTTTTTGACATTCGGGGAAAACCTTTTTGAAAACTGTTGGGTGGATTAGCATTTTTTACGCCAGCCCCCTCCGGTGATCCCCTGATCCCCCCTAGCGCCACCCATAGGTGAAATAGTGTTTTTTTTTAAAGGCTGGATGTGGCTGATATAAATGTTGCATGGAGATTTTGGGAGGAAAAAGAATGACTTACATCTTCATTTAGAACATAAAGAGGCATCGGACTCCTTCGACCGAGAGTTGTTGGTTTGGGTACAACATCAACTGCAAATACATATATTCATTTCAGAAATGGTTCACATTTTGCTTAATCAAATTGTGATATAATTATGTGTGACAATATGCCTCATTTTGTGTTGATGTATAGGAACAAGTGCAGCTGTTGCTCACCATCGTGGCCATTTTCACTCTGCTCGACATATACAGGAGCTCTTTGGGGGACAGGTCGATGCTTCTTTCTACAACAAGAAGAAAAACCCACACTAAAACACATCCAACCATCAAGCTGCAGATCAATGTGCTCTCCAATTTTCCACTACATGTTCAGAGTGGTGGAGTTGACACTGTGGAGCCACTTTATATTCTAGTCACATCCTTAAGAGCAATATCTAAGCCAGTGAGAGACAGAAGAAAGTGTGAGAGAGAGAGAGAGAGGGTAAAAGAAGAAAGAGTAACTCTCACTTGGAAGGTTTCCAACAGGCACACACTGTAACCAGGGTGATTAGGAGGAATATGCCCCCGGTGGACAGGATGATGTATAGCGAGCTCCGTCCTGAACCAGAGTGAAACAGAGAGGTATATGAGGACAAGAAGAGAAAGAAAGAAAGAAATTGTCAGTAACAGCCAGATAACAGCAGAGCAATTCCCTTTCACTGAACTTGTCCCTTTGTTTCACTTTTGCTTTTCATCTCTTTGCTTTTTACTTTTTGACCCTACAGAATAAATGTAAAAGATTTACCTGCTAGTTCTGCAAAGTGTCTGTCAATCTTTTACAATTTTTGTCACACAATTGTGTTGCATTTTGCCTTGACCCTAGGAAAGTAAAGTTTGCAAAGAGTAACTAGGTCTTTAAGACAATAGATTGCTATTTTCTTTGTTTAGACTATAGGCTTATCATGAAACATGGCCAGGACATGGAGCAGGTATGACTTTCAATTCTTTCCCCCACTGCATGCTAAGTCTATAGAGTGCTATGGCAGTGAAGTAGCACATTAGGGTAGTCACTCTGAGACTTTGAGCCGCGCTCCTGCCCATGCAGAGAGAACAGAAAGCGGTTTGAGGGCCTGAAGCTGCCTCCTCATGCAACACATCACAGTACAGCAATAATGAAGTCAGGATTACTGAGGTCCACTGGGGCAGAGCGTTCCCCCCACCTGCCTTCTTTTTCTCTGCCCCCTCCTCATAAATAACTGTCCATTCATTGGATTAAAGTGCCTCGGCCTCGCGTTCAGTCTGACATGTAGTTCTATGCTGGCGCCCAGTAACAGCCGTTCGGAGCCAACTCTGCCGCACTTGGATTTGCACTTTGTTGTAAACAACATTGTTAAAGAGGCAGGCATGCAGGCTTGTGTGTAGGTCAGCATGAGATGATAATTGCTTCAGTGAGATGTAAATGGATGGTTGTGTAACAATGAGATAAAACAGAGTACTACAGTTTTCATAAGCAGAAAAAAAGTTTAAAAAAAATCCTGGATTCGTTCCCTGATCAGGATTCCGTGCTAGAAATTAATGGGCTCTTCCCTGACCCATATTACATCCTTTCACAAAGTTTCAGGTTAATCTGTTCAGTTGTTTTTGCATAATTTATTTTACAAACAGACAAACCAACAAACAAATGAGGTGGAAACAGTCTCTTACATTTATCTGACTTATACTTATAGATATAGATGCTATCTAATTTGCAGATTAAAGTTCATCTCATATGATACATTTTTATAGATAAAACTAAGCAGCAGTTTGCACATCGGTTTACACTGACTCCAACACAGCTAGCTCCAAATTTAAACTTGTCATTGCAGGTCATTGCATAGTAATTATTTATACTTATTAAATAATAGAACATTTAATGGTATTTATCGAATAATAGAACATAGCAATATAAAACTGAAAAGGGTCTTTCTGCATAATGATTGCTTTTTATAATTTGAGTATTTTGGCTGTGAT